CCCGCCCCCGCCCCCGCCCGGCGCGGGCCGTGTGGGTGTCACTGGCGCCGTCTATCGTGCCGATCGGCCGCTCTGTGGCGTGCACGAGTCACGGCCGCGGGGTGCCGGCACCACGAGCTGTCGTGTGTCGCTGGCCGTGACTGGCCGGTCCGAGAGGCGGCGCCCCGCCGGCCGCCTCGCCGCAGCGCCGCCGCTCAGCATCCGCTGCCAGAGTGCAACTCACGCGCTGTCGATTGTTGGCCGCGCGCCTGTTTGTCGGGGGTGGTGCGGCTGCCTCAGGCGCGCCGCGCTGTGGCCGCGTTGTGGGCCGCCAAATGAGTGCCTGTTGTCGCCGACTGGATGGGGTTGTCGGAGTGTGGCGCGGGTGGCCGGCTGGGCGGAGGCCGAGGCTGAGCGCGTGTGACGGCGAGCTCCCACGGACTCAGCGCTGCAGCTGGCTGTGGTTTGCCGCGTGGATCGCCGACCGCCGCCCTGCAGCGCTGCGGTCAAAGGCTGGGAGAATATGTCGGCCCGCCGCCGCCGCAGACACCGCCCGCCCTCCAGGAATGCCCATGGCCGACGGCGACGACGGCACCTCACTTCGCGGCCAGCTGAGCTTCGCGAACTCGGGCGAGCGTTTTTGATGCTCGACCGTCCCGCGCCGCCCCCGCCCCGCCACCCAAGAACGGTCACCGCCCATCCGGCCGCCAGCCAGGCATTAGCTAAACGCTCCTCGACGCGCTCGATCATCGCACCGCTGAAATTATACGTCTATTGTCGTTCCCACACCTCCGCAAGCCTTGGGTGACCTCCACGCCCGCGCCCGTACCCGCCGCCTCCGCGGCCGCCGCCGCCCGCTGGCGCTCTGAGCCATTCATGACTGGGTGGAGTGAACACCCCGGAGGACAATGGGGCTCATCTGGAGGCGCGCAATGGCTCCCGCTGCGTTCCAGCCAGTCTGGAAGTTTGGACCGTCAGCTGTGTGCAGCGCCGGTGGCGCCCGAAGCTGTTTCGGGCTGCTGTAATGGCCAGTCGGGACTCACTCCGAGCGTCTGGATGACCGTTGAGGTGACGAGCTTGGGATTTATCCGTGGTCGGCCGGCGGTAGAGTGGCGCCGGGTGCTCATGTTTCGTCGCCTGTGTAACAGATACGACCCTGGTGGGCGGAGGCGAGAGACGACGCACGTGAGTGGGCGTCTCTCACGATCGCATGCCAGCTGGTTGTGGCAGTGACTTTGGCTTCAGCGATGCTGGCGATGAAGGTGCTTTGAGTGGTGGTTCTAAGCAAGAGGGAGACTAGGATCCGTCTCGTGTCGCGCTTTTGCATGGATCTCCAGTCTCCACGCCTCGCTCTCTAAAGCGTGCGGAGCATGCCACGAACACTCTTCCCTGCTCTTCTCCGGCCGTTTCGCTGCGCGCTCAACCGGGGCGGCTGCTCGATCGGCCGGCGGGCGCGCGCGGCGCCGGCATACAAACGGCTCATTGGGCCGCCATCAATTCATCGACAATTGATATTTACTCGGCGGTGTAGCGTTGCAGTGGCCGTGACTCTGGCCGCGTCCGGCCGCTCCTCGTGCGGTCAGCCGGCAAAAAGCACCACCGGACAGGCCGTTTTTCATCGGGGCCGGTAGAAATGCCTCACCTGTGTCGAGATCACAGGAATGCTTTACCGCAGTCAGTGCCGAAGTTGCGGTTCACTGGCCACCTGCAGTAAATCGGAGGCGCTCTTCTATTCTTCCCCACCCTTTTCTGGCCGGCCCCATGCCTCTGATAACGGGCTGTTGTGCCGATGTCGGCTCGATGCATGCGACTTCTGACCCAGTGGCTGCCACCGAGATCGACAAAAACTAGTCGCCGCGACGGCGTCCGGCTCCGGCGTGGCGGTCCGTGTCTCTCGCCACCTCTTCGCGACCAACCAGGCGCGACTAACACGCGCAGACAGCGGACTGTGTGAGCGGCCCGCGACACACATCCGCCGCTCGCTGCGGACCCTCAGAAGTCCTCCGGCCGGGCCCTGTTTCCGCCTGTTTGAGCTCGTGCCCGCTCGACAGTCGTAGGCCTGTCGCGTTGTCGCAACTGTGACGCACTGTGCGAGTGCAGTGCACCGTATACAGAAATGTGGACAGAAGGAGACACGCAGTCGTTAGATGGGTAACACCGGGGGCAGTGGCGCTGGGCTGACGCGGGCTGACGAGGCCGAGACTGCTCGGCTCAGTAGCGGCGCCAAATGGAACCCGTATACGGAGGGCAGCCGGCGCCGGCGGAGCTGATACGATCAGCCGTGGTGGAGGGACGTACGCAGGTGATGAACTGCCGGTCGCAGAACCGCTGTCCGGACTTTCGCCTGCTGCCGCGGGCCCAGCGAGAACTCACTGGTGCCGCTCGGCGGGTCGGCGCGGAGCCGCGCCCGACTGCTCCGTCGCCGTGGTCTGATCCCGGATACAACTGTGTCAGGGTTGTGGGACCATGGCGTGCGCTGAGCTGGCGTGCCGGCCGACCCCGCCTTCGTGGCTGCCCAGAGGACTCCCAGCCTTGCCACGACCTTTGTTTGAGCGGACGGACACGTTCAGTACTCGACTTTTTTGTTCGTGAGTCGCGACTTAGCGGCGGAGAATACTCCTGTCATGCTTCCATCATTAAACGTTTTTGATCAAACACTTTTACTAAGTGTTGCTGCATCGGGATGCCTTTCTTTCTACGGTATCGACGTTGACAGAAAACAGGGCTAAACAACGCCGCGTGAACGGCGAACAATAGCATTCCACCTCGTTCCTGGACTGTCCGTGAGCGGTAAGTCGGCTCGGCGGCGGTCTGGGTGGGCTGGTCGCCACAGAAACAGCGACCACGGCAGGAGAGCGTGGCAGCCTCCGAGCCAAGACCCGTGCCGGCGCCGGCGGGTGGGGCGGCACCCGCCAGCCGCCGAGAAGCCCGTCATTACAGCTGAGTTAGCGGCCGGGTCAGTTGGTCGGTCCATTGTCGCCCTCCAGTCCGGAGAGCGGCTCCGCCCGCCGGCCGACTCCGCCCGTCCGCCGCGCCCCCGAAAGGCTTGGCTTGACTCGTGGTTTGACTCTGAAACAGCTTCTTACGTTCCGGCAATCGAGCAACTCGGTTGCCCAATCGGCGAGGCAGGGATTTGGGCAGGATTCGCCCTAGAATTAAGCAGGTGACTCACTCATGGTGCGTCACGGGCTCGTCCGCTGAGTGACGGCGTTTCCGGCCGTAACGACGGCGTCCCTTACGTCACAGTTTGCTCTGCCCACACTGTTTGTCGCTCCGCATACCAGCTCGGCTTGTTTCTAACACCATTCGACGCGGGGCAGTAACCTGACGCCCTGTTTTCGCCTCAGCGACCACCGCCTGCTGCTCTCTGCTCTCGCGTTTGTCCATTAGTGACCCTGTCTATAGCAGACGGACTACAGCCAGGTGTCACAAGTTGACTAATTCGTTCCCAACGATATCACAACTCGTGCCGGAAGCCGACAGACGTCACGCGGCAGCTGCCGCGGCTTGAACAAAGTTTGGCGACAGACGACACGGGCGGCAGCGGCGGCGGATCCCCAGAAAACCAGCCGGACCGCATTCACGCACGTCCACGGATTCTGCGTAAATCCTGCGTTTGCAGCAGCCCCGCATTTTAACGAGCCGATTTGCCGGCCGACTGCATCGTTTCGGTACCGTACAGCGCCGCGCCTGCCGGTCGCCTGCGCGGCGATTTAAAACAGCTCGGCCTTCGACGTGCGTTGTTCAGTTCGCTGCGTCCGGACGGACTTTTTGAAGCGCGTCGGCGGCTCGAACGTCAAACGTGGATGCCAGAGTGACCACATCGCACGGCCGCACGCGTGATGTCGAAACCTGAGGCATGTGGGGCGCAGGATGTCCACTTCCGTTCGCTATCCAAAGTCAAACATTCCCGGATTCTTGCAGTGGGGTGACTCACAGACGGTGACCCGGCGCCGGTCATGGCACTCGTCGCCACCGGAGCGGCTCCCAGGAGGGCTTTGTGTGGTCGGCGTGGCGCCGGATGTGACGCCTCGACGGCCGCTCCAGCTGTGTGGTCCTCTGTTTACTCCGGTGCAGCGTGCGCCCGGCGTGTGTTTACTGGGGTGGTCTGACTGAACCGGCGGCGACTGCGGCCGCGTGCCTGCCACGGCCGCAGCCGCTGTCGCCCCCGCCGCCGCCCGTCACAGCCTCTGTTTGTAGAGGGGCCGGTGCGGTCTGGGTGAGCGTCGACTGGCCCCATTGAGAGGGCATCCGGTCCGGCGTCGCCGTTTACACATAGACCCCCATGGGTGCCGTCACGAAAAGAACGGCGGAAACGCCTGGCGCTGGGCTTGCTCTTCTCTCTCTCTCTCTCCAGACAGGGTTTGAATGTTCCGGTCGCTTTCTTTCATCACATGCGGGTCGGTCTATTTCAGACAGATGATCATTTTGAGCAAACTGATGTATGTACGCTTCACGAGATAGTAAAAAAAAAAAAATACTCATTGCACCTAATAAAACTCGAATTATTCACAAAATATATTTGAAATGCATCTCGACATATTTCAGCATAGTTTGTTTGCCAAGGAGCGCGATAAACAATGCTAAACAAAGAAAATCTCTCGAGCTATTTTAATAGGTGTACTGGCCTTGCTTCTTCCCTTTCCCATGTTCCTCACGCCCATCAAGATTACCGGCTTCCACCTCCTCCCATCCAAAATCTTCTCTCACCAGATTCAATGTGTTCAGGTGCCAATAAACCTTCACCAGCTAAGACGAGATTGTGTTAAAATGGGTGTTTCCTTCCCAACGCCCTCTGTATTTATCTTGTCAGCGCCGCTTTGGACATGCCCTAAACCGCATACTTTTCTCTGAATGAGGGACACAAGCCGGTACCTGTCGGTTTTTTGTAACTCTCCAGACCTGTCGCCGCGCTATGACACGCTGTTATCTGCTCCCGGTGCCGGACAGGGAGGGTGTCAGCGCAGTGATGAGGCAGGGTATAGGACCATGCTGATTCAGACCCGTCTCTCCGTCCACAGATTCCAGATCAGCAACACAGACCACATCATCGACGTCAACAAGGGCAACAACCTGTTCGAGTACGACCAGGTGACCATCATCTGCCCCAACTACGACGAGTTCACCAAGGAGGAGGACACTGAGAAATACATCATTTACAACGTAAGTCGGGGTAAAAATGAACGTCTCCTAAATGTTGATGGGATAGCTTTTGAGAGTTGACTTACCTGCATGAAACTAAGTTGCAGTGTGACATGTATCATGACTTCTTTGCAGCTGACCTCTACTGACACGGAACTGGCCGTTGTTCTCCTTTTAATTATGCTTTGCGGTGGTCCGTGGAACGAGACATCCATCTCTTGTCATCCAGCTGATTTATTGTGGCGACCCTCGGCAAAGTTCTCAGTTGAATCACACGCAGTCTGACATTTGTTCAAATTACCCTGACTGAAGGTGCGATATGTGGTGCACCGGTGGGCGCTGCACGTCCTAAACCCCGCTACCGGGCAGTGCACAGACCGTCTGCGGGCCATATGCCCTGCTCGGACCCGCCGTAGTGTCATGTCGCTGCCAGGTTAAATAATTAGTCACTGGGCCATTTGTCTTGCAAAGTAGGGTGCTGTGTAGGTGAGACGGCCGGAGAAATAATGTGCGACTGGAATTTGATGCACGACCTGTGCAAATACGCGCTCGGATGATAGTGTAATATTCATAGCAGCACCATTCATCACGCGAAGGCTGGCTCCGCCTTTTCATTGTATATTGCCACTCGGACGTGGTGTACTATTTCATAAGCGTTTGACGCGTGTAGGACAAATGTTCGGGTGTAATCGCACTTCCGCCGACATAACCGATAAGCTTTCACCTGAAGCGTTACACAATGCCGATGAGGGTGGTGCCGAGCCGGCGCGACGCAGCGATAGGGCGGCCTATGGAGACATTTGTACGAGATTTATCACCTGTGTGAGACTAATCACCGGTGCTGCATGTCAGGACCTGACCCAGTGACGTGCGGTGCGGGACCAGCTCTCCGTGTAGCTCCAAGGTCTCGCCGTTCCTACAGAGGACACGGTCAGGCCGTGCCTCCGCGCGGGACTGTGTCTGTGCGGAAAAAAAGCGGCCCATCTCGTGTTCAGAGGTGACGGATCGGCTGTTCTGCCTTGGCGGACCGGTTTGGGGGCGTTCGCGGCCCGACACGATGGCGACTCCTCTAGCCAGTCGCCACTCTGGTGAGCCGTCAAGGCCAGCCAAATAACTCACGGGTGACGCTCTGCGCCGGAGAATGTCTCTCTCTAAACCGAGGCGCGGTGACGGGCCAGGGACAACAGCCACACACCGCGGTGGTCATTGGATACCCGGGGCCACCACCAGACCCATCGCTCGCCGAGTAGAATGGCATAGAAGGTGGAAATGGCTACCGGCGCGGCGTGGACGCGGGACCGAAACTCACAGGGCGCAGCTGCGGTCACTGCCAGAACCGGCATCCTAGGTTGGAACGGGCTATCTTTTTTTGCGAGCTTGTTCGTGATATAAGAGGGTGGAGTTAGACATGTTTTTTTATTTACTAAAGGGCTATTGATCAAGATGGCTTGCATAGGTGCTCGAGCCTCGATGCGCACCGAAGTGGTTTGCTGTAATGTCCTCATGTCGTGATGCGATTTTCCTGTTGTTGCAATGTCTGGGCACTTCCACCTTAGGCATTCCGCCATTCCGCGCTCATATACATCCATATCGTAATGTGTGGACATGCCGTGTCTCACTCTGGTTTTATCGCCCATAATGTTTTATGTCCCGTTAATGTTATGGTTGTACTGTGTTCTAGAGTGTTGCGAAATACTAAGAAACATGTAACTATCAGCGTTTGCAATGCTAATTCCGTCTTGTACCGGCACCCATGAATGGCTTAATGTGTCAAGTCATAAGTTGTTTGCTGACAGTCGTGATTACAGCGTGGTTGAGTCTTTTGTTCGACAGTGTCCCGTGATGGTCATTGCACAGGTGAACGCTATTCAACGTTTTGCCGAACGATGTTTCTTATTTTATGGTCTTTGATGACAGGTGTATTGCAAGATAGAAAATGAGTCATGTCTTCCTCAGGATTATGAAGGACTTTGCGAATGCCTTTACCCAACTACCTATGGTAATAAACATAGGTAAGTCATAACTTTGATATAATGATTATAATTCGTAATGTCATAATTTTTTCTTTTTCGTTTTGTTCTGCTCCAACTAATAACATATCTTCGGTAGAAACGTTTACTCATTGTTCGGAGATGCTATAATTTGACTTATTTTCTGCCGAATGGCCAAGTCACACGAAGACCATTAAACCATAAATCCGAACTCTAAACGATAAGTGACTGGGGTCGACCATTGCATTCGTTGGAACATGACTCATGAGAGAACAAAGAATGGACATGGGAACCAGCCGTCTCATCCCTCCCCGCCTCGTCTCTCCCTCGCTCATCAGCAATGTTGAGAATGTTCCGCGAGGCGCTGCGCTCCGCATAACCGGGCTATTACTCAGAAATGAAGACAGCTTCCGAGCCTCGTCTGCGCCGCCAGGAGCCCAAATTGGTGTGCCGAGCGGCGGACGGAACCGACGCTGGGTCCGCCGCGGGATCCACTGCGGGCTTGACGCTGGATCCGACGCTGGACCCACCGCGGGACCCGACGCGTGAGCGCATACCAGCTAGCAACACTTTGATGTCTGCTGGCGACGCTCGCGAGCCGATAGTGTTATTGTATGAATCGTTTACGGCATGAGTTGGGTATTTAAACCGACTGAGCCGTCCGCTCTGCCGTCTGTGTCCGCTTCAAATGGTTGCTAAATGCGTTTTGCGGAGGCTGACCCTCCTCACCGAGCAGGGCTCTGTGGAGTGTAAAGCAGCAGCCAGCTCACCACCTACCTCTCGGATGCGGCGTGCTCAGCATACGCTGCACCCCGCGCGCTGCTCGGCGCCCGGCGGCGCCCTCAGCAGGGCGGTCGGCGCGCTGACGTCTGATGACGATCATGATGGATGCGCCGCCGGCGGCGGCCGGCCGCGCTCGGTCAGCGTGCCGCCATCAGTCACGGAGCGGAGGTGACACTGGTGCCGGTATCGGCGGCGACATCAGCAGTGTCGTGCCGAGGTGCCCGTGGTACGTACTTCGGCGCCGCCACCCGCAGCTCGAGGTCCTCTGCAGAAGAATCGTGTCAACTTTACTATCTTCATCGGAGCTCTGTTCACTTCACCTCTCAACATTGCTGCACTGAAATGAATCTTTATCTAGTGGTCGCTCTCATTTTGCCCTATCCTCTCATGACGCTCTCTGTTCACCCTCTCAACCTCGCGCCGGTATGCCTCTCTCGCTCGGTGCGTGTGGTCAGTTGCAGGGCGGTGTCCTGCGGCACCCCTCCGCCCGCGGCGTCTCCCACCCCACCCCACTCCATCCTGCTCGGTTCCCAGGGTCCCGATGGCGCTGCCGGCTGCAGCGATCGGGTGGCGGCGTCACGGCCGCTTCGGTCGCATGTCGGACGGCCGTGAGCTGCCAATGCGGCGCCGACGGCCGGCGGTGCGCCGCTCCTCGCCGCTCCTCGCCGCCTGGCCAGGGCTCCATCAGAGGAAGATTGCTGTCTAGGCGGGCGCTGATGCAGGCTCGGACCCGCCGCAGGGCGGTGGGACGGGGACGGCCGGACGCGGTATGTCGAGGATGCAGCTGATCAGGATACTGCTGATGTGGATAGGTGCACAATGTCACGAGTCTATTTGGATTGGAGATGCAGGGCTTTCGCTCACGGAATGACAGTTATAGGCTCGTGAGTAGTTCGAGGATGGTTCGTGGGACATTTAAACAGTCTCATGAATAGTGTAGTTGGAGATTATCGTCCCACGGTCGTTCAGTCTTCAGTGAACCGTCTAAATGGTTCTACCAATCCTCTCACTCTATCGCCTGCGTGCCCCCGGCTCTCCGTGCCCTCAATTGTGTTTCCCGCTGCGGCTCTCGGCCTGTTTCTCTCCTTCTTCATCCCTCACGCTGTTGGGAGCCGCCGCCGGCGCAGGTAGTTAGTTGTGCGTGCGGTTCCCCGCCGTCGGCTACGCGGGCCGCTTCTCGACGCTTTCTCGAATGCCCTCAGGGGACAGGTGCGATGACTGAGGGGGCAGCTGCATCCTTACCACAACGTATACCAACTGGAGCGCCCCTCCGCGGACAATACTGACCTGCGATTTCTAGGACCAGTACCTAGACAAGACCATAGTCACTCCCAAGTCGTTTAGTGATGTCACTACACGGCTTTTTACCACGTTCTGCCAATCGTCTGTCAATCGTCTGTGGCATATGATCTTTTGTCGAGACGCCGTAGGACCCTAATTACCAGCGGACACACCAGTCTTCTGCAGCGATTGCCGGCGCGCTGGGAGTGCAGCCGCGCTGGCCGCCGCCCTCTGCTGAGTGCCGGCACTCCACTCGGTATGCTCGTGGAGTGTCTGTGGGCTGCGAGCAATCATCAGCGGACGCCACCGCCGCCGGCCCCAGCCTCCAGTCCCGAGAACGCTCCGCTGTCCTAAATATGCCCGGTAAGGCGACCGGGCTACGGCCCGGGCGCCGCTCGACGCGCTGTGAGGAGAGAGAGAGCCATGAAACGGACCAGGCTGAGGTTTGACTGGGCAGTGGGCACTGGGCAGGACCGGACGGACCAGACCAAGCCGTCATTGGCCGATTATGGTCGCGCCGCTGCCAGGATGACGGCCGTCCGATGGCCGCGGTACGTCAGCGGCTGATGACGACTATCGTCATCGGCTGACGGCGACTATCGTCCGCTGCTGACGGCAACTATCGTCCGCTGACAGCCGTCCGCCGGTCACCAGCGCCGTATCGGGCAGTGAAGAGACGCCGCCGCGCCAGCCGACCAGCCGGACACCGGCTGCTTCTCTGGGGATTTAGTTGGTCATTCCGTGCACTGCCTGCATATTAACTCGTCGAGTCTCTGAAAAAGATAGCCAGTGCATCATTATATTCTAGAGCCCCGCCTGCTGTCATTTACTGTTTTATTATTTTCACCGAAGCCGATTGAGGTACCGAACTGACCTTCACTGCTGCCTGAAATGTCGCGTGATTTCCTCCGTGCGGGGGACAGCTCGGTCCGCGCGTGTCACCACGGACTCCACCCTAACTGGCAGCGTTCCGTCTCGTCGATCGAGCCCACCGTCTGTCAGCGATCCGACCGACAGGCGCCGAGCTGCTCAGAATCGCTGACGTAACGGCTGGACTGGGGACGTGGACTTATTTGGTGGCCGGCGGGACCACTGGAATGCTGCAGATGTTTACCTAACTAACGCTTTGAACGTGCTCAGTGAGCGGTTTGAGTGATTTGCGACTGATGTGTGGATGATATGGGAGGGATGTGAAGTCGGACTGTGAGCTTGTTGGGTGAGGTGGCGTACTTGCTGGACGATGATTCGATCATGTTACCGAGACGTTGTCAGTAGCCTCTTGAGCTGAGGCTCTGTTGGATACGCTGCGTTCTTACTGTGACGTTCTTTCTGTGACTTTGATGGGCGCCGATGATCACCGCAGTCCTAACCCCCAAATCATTATTATCTGTGACTGTGAGGGTGCAACACTAACCCTCATGTGTCTCTGTGTGTTTCAGGTGTCCAAAGAAGAGTACGACACGTGCCGAATCACGGACCCGAACCCGCGGATAATCGCCGTCTGCGACAAGCCGTACAAGCTGATGTTCTTCACCATCACATTCCGGTCATTCACACCTCAGCCGGGAGGGCTAGAGTTCCGGCCCGGCCAGGACTACTTCTTTATCTGTAAGTAAACCCAAGAATGTCGCTGGAGATGGGATTTATGATGTCAGGGCTTGTGTCGATAGTGTGGTGCCCGGGGGTGTTGGTTATGCCGCTCTCGCGCGGGTATGTGGGGCCGTCTGGGCTGGCGTGGGAGCCGCCGCTCTCCCGAGCCGTAGCGCCGGCGGCGGGCTCGTTCGGATGTGTTCGCCGGAACTCGCCTGACTGGGGGTGTGTTCGGCGTTACGAACCCTCGCACCGTCTCGTTTCAAGCGGACCTGGTCGGAGGTGAAGGTAATTACGAGCCTGCGCGCCGCTCTCTCCGGCCTCCGCGCTCTGCCCGCCTGTCGATAGCTCTGCTGCGGATCGCGGACCGGTTCCGGCAGCCTGTGTGTCTGTCTGTGTGTCTGTCAGCAGCCTGCCGGCGCGTCGTGTCGTGCCATGCATGTCGCTGATAGAATGTTCAATGTTCCCTGCACAGCCAGTCCGGATCTGCCCCCCCCCCCCCCCCCCTCCCGTCAGCTCAGGCCACTTTCCTGCCATCCCACCTCCGTCTATTGTGTATATCTAATGACAACTGCTGCCGTCTGTCTCAGTACTATCCGAAGTCCGAACCTCGCCTGTCCGCCGCCTCTCCGCTCTGTTTCCCGCTCTCCAGTCGACCCATCTCGGCCTGTCGTCTCTCGTCTACCGTCTGCCGTATGTCGGTGCCCGTCTGCCCCGCTCTAACGGCTGTGTTTGCCGTCTTCGCATTCCTGTCGTTCGCTGGGCCGCGCCGAACACCGTCCCGTCCCGTCCCGTCACGAGTCGCGTTTGTCCAACGATCGGCGGATGGACGTTACTCTGTGTTCGCAGCACTGAGAGCACGTGCGAAGCATTCACAGTGTCGGCGGACGCTGTTTTGTATGCAGTTTGATGTCATTAGACGTTGATGCCATCTGAACGACGACGCGCCGCCGGTTGCCGCCTTATTTTTCGGCTGTATCCTCCTCTCTGGCCTGTTGTGTCGTGCGTTTGTGTGTCTGTGTGCTGGGTATCAGCGCGGAGGGAGGGATGGAGACGGCACCGCTGGAGTCAGGTAGCCGCGCCGGTGGCAGCTGGGCCATTGTATTCAAATGGCTGGCTGTTGGGATGCGTCGCCACGCTCTGCGTCCGACGGCAGCCGACCTGACCACTGTCACCGTCCTCCCTCCGCCGACTTCGGTCCGGCGGTCACCTCTGACGTCATATCACGTGACCGGTGTGGGCCGGAGTCGGTCCGATACTTCCCCGTTCCTGTTGTGTTGGATACCTGCCTGCCGTGCTCTGAGAGTAAGGTCGTGCCGGCAGCTGGGGCTGAGGAGGAAGTGCTCGCTGTTTCCGGGGAGGTGTGTCCGTGTCTGTCGGGGTTGGGAGCACGGGGAGTGGCTCTGTGACGTTCCCTGTTCCCGGACCGCCCACCGCCGCCCACCTCCTTCCCCGCCGGTCCCGATCGACCTTCGGACGCATACAATGGCCTGTCCAGAGCGGCCGGCGCTGCACGCGGCCACACATGCCGACGGCCTTATTTACGGAGGGCGGTGCCGCTCATATAGAGCCGTGGACGACCTCGGGGAACAAGTTCAGGCTAGTCCGACACGGCTCCTGCAACAGCTTTGTTACCATGGACTTTCAGAGAATATAGCCGGCATGCAGCATGGCGCACTGGCCCTGAATTCCCTTGTCGACCGTGATGAGATGACTCTTACTGCTAGCTCGTGTATGGTGTTGGCCCTGAGCTGAGTTTCGTGCGTTGTGTTGACCGTGACAATTCGTTGACTGACCTCGTATTCTCTCCACAGCCACGTCCGCTCGGGGAGATATGCTGAGGAGGATCGGCGGTCGGTGCTCCACGCACAACATGAAGGTGGTCTTCAAGGTGTGCTGCAACGACACCGATACCAACCACATCGACACACGTGAGTTGACGCCTGAGCGCTAATAAAGTCGGAAGGGTTGGGTTATAATAATGGAGCTGCTTTGCCTCACTCCTGAGCAAAACGGAGACTGCACATGCTCCTCTAAACAAAGCCAACTCACGACCGTTGTGACGGACGTGAATCCATAATCTGATATACCTTTCCATAATTTTTCATAACCCTGTACCTATTCAACTCTGTCTCGACGGCCACCATCCTCTCCACATCCTCATCTTCCCTTCTGCCCACAATTTCACAGTTCCATCCACCCTACCTATGAAGCCACTGCTGTCACCTACCTTCCCTCGCGAACCGCCCGAGTCCAGCCGAGCCGCTGGTGGCTCTCCGTGCCGCGCTGCCGGCTCAGAGTCGACACGTAGCCATATTTACCGGGCGTCGACGGCATGCAAAGGACGGCGCGCCGAGCGGCCGGCTGGCTGCCGGGCACGCGGCGCCGACTGGCTCGATAGCATCGGGCCGGACTAAACTTGGTGTCGGTGAAACGCGGCGCGGCCCGGCACCGTGCCGGTCGGCCGCAGTACGGATGGACGGACAGACGGACGGATGGCCTCACTATCAGCTTCGGATTATGAGTCAAAAGTTATAACTTCCCAGTCTGAACTATTCGAAGTAGCATATTTGCGACCTAATTGAAGGTTGTCGGCCACAGGCAAAAGCGAAAAACTTTGACGGCTGAGAATAAAGTTATCATTGATTCATTGAGTTCCCTTGTATCCCAAATTCTGATTCGCGTGTTCACGGGTGTCACTTTTCGAAATTATTGGTAGGGCTTGTATGGTTAATTTTAGGATACCAAGCCATTCTTACCATGCAGCGCCATAGGATTAATGTAAAAATTCTGAGATTATTGGTAGGGCTCAGGCCCTACCAAGCCTATACAAAACGACACCCATGCGCGTGTTCCACCGAGCTGCCTGTCTGCGTACCACCTTACTCACTCTGCGCTCGCCATCTCTGACCAGTCTCTCCTCTCTCCACAGCGGCCCTGCCGGGTCCCTCCGAGGAGTCTGAGGCTCCTTCGACCACCACTACCACTGAGGCGTGGCTGCCGCCGCGTACCTCAGCCACCACCACACGGCGGCCGGGCACGCGGCCCCACTTCAAGGACCTGCACAAGGACATCTACGGAGAGGTGCTCTCTATCGATGTCAACACCAAGAAATCAGGTGCGTGCAGAGGGTGTGACATTGGACGACATGGGGAGAGTGGTAGGGGGTCAGATCAGCAGTTGGTGAGGATCTGGAAGTGGTAGGGACGCGCTGAGGAAAAGTCGCAGTAAGGAGTGCGCATTGTTTGGTCGGTCGTGATTGGAAGAGTCGATAGAGCCTATATTTTACAAAATAGGTGCCTGGTGCTTTGATGTCATGTAGTGATATCTTGTCTGTCCTCACTCGAATCTAAGGCATTCGTTACAACCCTCGACTCGGGATAGCAGGACTCCTCCGTTTAGTTCCATCTGCTATTTTGTCAAGGTAAGATTCTCAGTTATTACGATAGGAATGGTGTTTTCATGTGACTGCCTTCTAACAGAATATGTCTGTTTTCAGATGAGTACGACAGGAAGAAGCAGCATCCGAACGACGTGTACGCCAAAAACGAAGGGCTGACGTCTTCGGCGGCGGGCCGCTCGGTCCGGCACAGAGACTCGCACACTGTGCTCCTCTCCAGTATAGCCGGCCTGCTATTACTGCGGCTGGTGGCACGGTGAGCCTCCCACGTGGAGGCTAGCCGCTGTAAATGTGTGTACAGCTGTGGCGGACGTGGACATGTGATGGTGCCATCTATGGGCGGACGAAGCAAGCTCTGGTTCGCCGCCTGTGGTGGCGCTGCGGTCGCTGCGGAGACACCGGGAGAAGCTTTACAATGTGATGGAAGATATTTTACCGGTCATATCTGTTTGTGACGCGATCATTGTGATAGCCCTGCTCCGGCGGGCCCAACCTGTGTAAACGTGTACATAAGTCATAGCAGTATAGCCGCATCGCATCTGATTATTTCACAATGGCAGCCCCTGTTCTTGGGCGGGGACGGGGCACGGCGCGTGCCGCTCGGGAGTCTGTGGGACGGTGCCCCTGCCGGGCCCGCGCGCACCAGGCAAGTGCCTCTCCGTCCGCCCGCTGGTCTGCACGGCGAGGGGCGCCATTCCTGCCAGTAAGCCGGCGACCTGTGACCCACGGGTCGGCCGAGGGTGATGTGCCGTGCGGCCGAGTGTGTGTCGGAGCCCAACATGCTTTCCGGGCTGCCATTGTCGGTCGTCTCATCGTGCTTGTGAGATTGTGTGAATGTTGCCAGGTTAGGACCTTCGATTCCTCGATTAACGGATGACTTTCCCAGTTACCCACGCGAGAAGTGCTCTCTCGAGTGGTTGGCCGGGCTGGTTTCATTAGTTCAACGTTCCTGATGGTTCGAAACGAGGCCGGCACGACTCCGAAATCGGACCAGCCATCTTCCTCTGCCACGCATGGCCAAATGAGAACTTGTGTTTAGTATCAAAATGTTGTGTGCCATACCACATTGTTCTTGTTACATCTGGCTTTGCGTAAGCCTGACGTGCTAAGTTTTGTACGTACACACACTGACTTAGTCCAAATCACTTCGAACGTGTCTGAGAGACTGACAAGCCGATGGGCGATCCATGTTTGTTTTACTTTCTCGATAACCTGACCGTATGTTATGTTGAGTCTTACCTGGACATTTCGCAGTGCTTTTATATCTATTTTGTACATAAATAATAAATGCTCGTCATGAATGATTCAATGCGTTTGCAATCTGACCGAGGAAGTATAAACTAATGAATCGGAGATATATCTGAGGCCAGTTTTACCAACAGAAAAATAGACACCTGCCGGATTTTTTTTTTTTTTTGTTTTGTTTTGCTTAAGATCGCTTCACATTTGGAGCGTAACCGCGATGGCCGCGTAAGCGGATAGGGCTTTACCGTTTACGCTACGTATGTGAAGCGATCTTTAGTCAAATAACTCCGGCAGGCGGCTATTTTTCTGTTGGTAAAACTGGCTTCTGTGCAAGCTAATTGTCTGATTTTACGCATGAAAACGGCTTTACAATGTGTGTGTGTTTTTTTTTTGTGTTGTAGGTACGCGTAAAGTGCGGTTAAGTAAGAAATTGTGAGAAACGCGCCAAAAGTTATAATCATTTGATTTTTAACAAGAACGTCGCCTTTCGGGAAAAATATTTTTATTCGGGGAAGATGGGGGGGGGAACACCGCCCTTTGGAGGACACCGCCCACCCCGATATCAGAAATATAAAAAGGTCTAGGGCGACAGCTGACTGTCTTTTGGCAGCGTGACGACAACAGAAGTGCAGGTATAGGCAGTGCACCGCATTGGTTCAGGTGATTTGCGAGAAATTCCTCATTTTACGTTTCGTGATTACGTTTTATACTTTTCCTAGCATAATAAGCAGAAGGAAACTGATCTTATTTGACAGACATTAGTCCTAAAGTAGTGTTTTTTTTTGCCACTTAGGACTCATCCAAGCATTACGTGCTCCTGCTCGAGCGAAACCTTTGTCGTGCTGCCATATAGAAGGATTTTTTTTTTTCTTTAAAAATGCCGACACTTGGGTAACACCGCCCACTTGGGAAATTTGGTATCTAATAGCACATTGTGACACCTAACCCAGGATTGGCGCATTTCAAATAAAGAAAGAACGTTGTTGCTGTTTTCTTTTTAGACAATTTCGAGAAAATGAAATTTTGGGACTTTAAGTCGTCTACATAGTTATATAAATGAGTACTATATTGTGCCAGGGATATAATAAATCGCTTCCACTGATACTTTATAAATATACTAAAACGCCTCGAAATTTACGATAAGAAGAACAACTTAATAGTCCAGCAATCTGCCCAACGGCCGGTGTTACCCCGAAAATTGTAGACATTTACTAAATGTGGAATCATGCAATTATGAACGGCACTACAAGAAAACAATTGGTTGATATGTGTGTAAAAAGGATGCGACAATCCAATGAAACTGAGAGATTGATTATTTGGCCAAAAATTACGTGACTAGACCCTAAAAGGTTAACCCGGCCGGGCCCGGGGTTAAGGGGGTCGGTGTTCCCCCGTCTTCCCCTAAGTCTTGAGCTTGTCTCCCTGAATGCAAAATTTTCGTTTTGGTGCACTAAATATGCGGCGAAAATGATTTATCGTTTGAGCACCAGAACAGCTGCATACATTAGAGACGAATTGTTAACGTAACTGAAGCAATTTTTAAGCTGGTGGCTGCTCGTACTTATATTTTTCGATCACCAGTCTGTAACGCACCAGCATTTTCATCCAAGCCGAGTAGGAATGCCAAAAGCATTAGCAGGTACCTATTTACTCTGCTCGCAACTACGCAAACGTCAGAATTCGTCGGCTTTGAGCTGGTGGATTGGTCATTATGCCTGGTCCAGTCGAAACGTAAAAAGTTGTTATTGTAGTCTCTGCGATATATGTTTGTCCCAGACCGTGAATGCCATCAACATGGATAAATGTTTAAGATGAGGGGAGAAAACTTCTGGAAAGTCTGTCTGGATGCAAGGGAGCAACATCTATAACATCAAATAGGCATACTTGATATGATGAACCCAAGGCGATAAATACCAACCTTATGTAAGTAAATAATGCGGGATCGAGGACTCCGATATTTCTGAGATCGACTAAAAAAGCAATACTGAGCTCTGGTGCTGAACGGACAAGGTACGCAGCATTTGAAGACTGTTGCTATAATATATGGCTTGGTAAATGCATCGAGATTTGTGTCGACAAAACATTATCATTTATCCTACCATTATGTAATAACTAAATCACCATTTTCTAACGATAACAACAAATTCGTATAGGTATAATGAATGCGGCTGCATTCAGGGATAGATAGAGAGCCGAAACCGGGGCATTCGGGACCGTTGCACATTTGGCCTGAGACCGGAGCCGGAGCCGAAGACGCCAAAAGTGATGCTACTCCGGCTCCGAAGAACTTTAAAATCTTCACAAGAGGCAGCACGACTAAACCTGCCAATATACATGTAGAATATATTTTATGTGTAGAAGCCAGTTTTGGGATGTGATTTGGATTGAGCATCATATCCAATGGAGCAAGTCCTTACAACCGAACCGTCACGCCGTTCAAAGTAACCAAGGAGAGACGGGAATGCGTAGCTCGCAGTGCGTGCCTTAGCGGAACTCAAACCCGTATGACTCCTTTTAGACTACGTCGGGTCCAGACTGTTTCCCCGCTAATATGTAAAATGCCAGGATACGTGAGCTGCAGCGAAGCAGTGTCCACGAGTATATAAATATCGATTGCTGATATAGACGGAATCGTGATTACGTATTATCTACTCTAAAACTAGCAATGTTACACCACGGAATATATACACCCTAAGTCCTGCAACAAACTGAAAAATAAATTCATTTCATTGTGTGCTCAGCTTTCAATTGCATAGAGGGTCAGGATTGGGTCAACTACCGGCAACCATTTTAACGGAACGGACGAAACACAACACAACACATTATTAGGACGCACAAACGAGCAAAATTGCACACCGTATACGCACATCATAAGCAGGTGCAATGTGAATACATGTTGACGTCGCAAGCTTATACATGAGTTGCGAAAAATACCAGCACGCCATTTAATTAAATAGGATACGAGCTGCTCTTCACACCTTACCCTTGCAGTAGAAGTTTTCAGTATGGCCTCTGAATGAGAGGCGTCGGTCTCATCCGAGTGCGACCGTGAAGAGAACAGCTGCAGCGATCGAGCGGACCAGACGAGCATCGGGAGCTCAGAATGTCTGTCATGGGCCAGTTCAAGATGTGACGACAGCAGCAGCCACTGCGCCGACCAGCAGGGCGGTGGCAGCAGCCAGTAGCGGTCGGTGTTGGAGATGGACAGCAGGACGGCCGGCACCGGAGTGATGGTGCTCCTCCTCTCCATCACCTGACGGCAGAATCATCCGGATCCGATCCTCCACGACGGCGAACACGGGCGACCTTGCGATAATGTAGTTCTGCAAAAGGCTGATGTCCAGTATGCCGAAACTCTGGCGACTGATAGGCGGTGTGAACATGTGGAAGCCGTCGCCGCCGTCGGCGATGAAGTTGGTGAGCGCGACATGGTAGTGTTGCGAGTGGTTGAGCAGCCGCGACTCGGGTATCATGTCGTTGGCGCTGAGCACGTGGACGTGGCTGACACGGTGGTACGGCGGTTTAGACATGTCGATCTGGTACGAGATGCCAGACACCTGCATGAAGCGGCCGTGGCGCTGCTCGACAGTGGAAGAGCCGTGCTCCAAGGCGGCGTGTAGCATGCTGCCGTTAATGACGATGACTTCGACCAGGTTACGCCAGGAGAGGGCCTCGGTGAGCATACGCGGTGTCACGTCGCCCACCTGGATGTTGTTGCGCATGAGGCCAGAGTTGACGAGCGCCACCATGGGTAGCTGGATGGGAACGTCCGGCACGTACATCCGCAGCGCCCACAGCATGGCGTCCCCCATCAGGTTGCCCAGGTTGCACTCCTCCTGGTGACACATCTCGGCCATGCCAACCAGCTGCACCAGCGACTTGCCGATCACATCGTGTGACCTGTTCGTCAACTGCTCCTGCAGGTCGTCCATCACTTCCTTGGTGTCTGGGTCCTGTGGCATGCTCTCATCGAGCAGCTGCGGCTGCGGCCACCAGTCCTTCACCTCATCATCAGCGTTGAAGGTGATATTGATGTTGCCGACGTACTTACCGCCGAAGAAGGCATGCAGTAGGAGGACGCGTCGCCCGCTGGGCTGCACCACCACGGTCGGGTACGGGCCGCGAACGTTGCCGGCGTCCGCCGGGTCCGGCGGCACCCCAGGCGCCTGGTGACTGATGGGGTCAGGCCAGAGAAGGGTGTGCGAGTGGCCGCCAACAATCACGTCCAGGCTGGGCACACGGTGAGCAATCTCCTGGTCACGCTCGTATCCCGAATGACCGAGAGCCACAATCAGCTTGATACCCTTCTTCCTTAGCACCGCCACCTCGCGCGTCAGTGCCTCGATTTCGTCCTCGATGTGAACCTCGGGCACCTTCAAGGGCTCCATGACGTTCGGCGTCAGGTAGCCGAGAAGGCCGATCTTCTTTTCTCCGATGGTGAGGATCCGATGTGGTGGACAACGTTCTCCCAGCTCCTCCTTCATGGTCTTGTTGAATTTGCTGAAGTCCATGTTAGTGCACACAAACAAATTAGAAGGTAGTGATCTCATGAAATCCATCATTTGATCTAGTCCTCCATGAAATTCTTTATCTCCCAAAATCAATGCGTCGTAGGGCATCAGCTTTGCAAGATATGCAGATGCCCTCCATTTAAAAATAGCGTGCAGGATCTCGCCGTAGAAGAAACCACCCGTATTAACTACAAGCACGTTCTTCGTGAATGGTTCCTTCTTCATTTTCTTCACGTAGTCGACGGCGCGAGCAAAGCCGCCGTGACACGTCATTGTTCTCTGAAAATCTTCGTTTGTGCACGTGATGCCGAATGCATCGATAGGAATGAACCGAGAGTGAATGTCTCCCTGATGAAGGATGAGAAGTGTGTATTCGGACGCTGATCCGAGATGGATGAAAAGCATGATAAGCTGTAAAATTGTGATGAATACCATGATTCTGAGCAAAAGTTAAACTCGAAAATAATTATGATTGGTTTACTAGAGGATCTGTGAGTTCCTTGACTTCTACCGCATGAGTAAGAGCATTTCATTGAGTGTCGTATGTTTCATACCGCTGTATCTGCCGGCTTTCCATTAATGGGGAATCTTGTTCAACTTTAAAACTCAATAGCCTTATATTATGGGCAATAAAATAAGGCTATGATACAATACAACCGTAATACAGCAGCACGTCTACATGTTGTATAGTAGTAAATGCAACTTTTGCGAAGGCTCACGATGTAAATTGCTCATTTAGGGCTACAAAATACGTGCTCTCAGGTTATGGGTACTTTTCTGTCCAGACAGTTCAACCCAGAGTACATAGACAACCGCAACCACCCTGACCGAAACCAAGGCCGTATAAGTACCGAAACCACCCTTGAACCACCGAACCGCCCTACCTGTCTAGCCTTTGATTTCTCGACGCAGTGATCTTACGAGAAGCATTCGTTGGCACCTCCTGTTGTGAGCAATTTGTGTTATATACGCCACTGCGTATGTCCTACGAAGTGCATACACAGAAGCGCAAAGGTAAAAAAGCCTCTGCCAGGCCTTCGTTTACCACGCAGGTTCAAGCGGCGTGCATTTTATAGTTTCGTTCAACATTAACTTTACTCATAAAGCAACAATTGTAATGAGCAATTGAACAACACGCGATAAATTTAATGATTAGTGGGATGCATATTATTGACGTAAAACTTGCACCCCTCAAAACAAGCTAAGCTAAGCATACTTTTTCAATCCTATGTACCTACCTAAGCGATGATTTTTTTCATGCATGCCCCGACAATCAGTGGCGGCGGAACACCTTCAATTAAAGGGGGGGGGGGGGCACTGCCGACTTTTGGTCCCATTCTTTTCATGCAACGCCCATAGGGCTACTCGTAATGTTAAAATGCCAAAATCAAAGGAGGGCACGGTGCCCCGTTGGCCTCCCCGTTCCGCCGCCTATGCCGACAATCATCAGGAGACCTAGATATTCGCTCTATCTATCTATAGTTGGTTTAATAGATAGTTGCATAATCACATGCAAGCATAGCATAATCAAATTTATTTGGGAGATGAAAAATCCAAACACTTCGTGCCTTCAAGCGATATAGATCAAATACAAAACAGGAGACCAAAGATAGTTCCGGAAATGATAACCACCAATAGATGTCAGCTGCCCTCCTCGGGGTCCGGAACCGCCACCGAAAAGTCACGCTTGATCATCTGGGAGTTGTGGGGCGCTTCTGTGGTCCGTTTCTCATCGCCAGGATCTGTTGAAAAGAAATACGTTTGGGTAAATGTAGGTAATGGTTAACTGAACCGTTTGCTGATGAGACGACAATATTTTTGCTGATGCTGACAAGTGACAATATCATCACATCACCGGGAATGCTGCTCACCTGGGTGTCAATGTAGCAGCAGCTCACGTCGGCACGGCCTCCAGACACATCATCTCGCCATCAGCGCAGGGATCTTCGCAACACTTCATGTCCGGCTCCGCGCAGTCGGCGTCAACCTCGCAGTCGGAGGTGAACGCTGGACAGTCCTCTCCTCTGTCAAACGAGGGACAGATGCCCGCTCGGGAGTTGGGACCCTGGGAGTTGTTTCCCTGGATCTGGGCGTCGGCAGTGGTCAGCACCAGTGCCAGCACCAGCGCTGTCACCAGCACCAGCGGTGACATCCAGTGGCGGACGGTAGACATGGCTCTGTGGTGGTTCTGTCGACAGCTGAACTCCACTGGTGACTGACTGACCCGGTGGCACCCGCTGCTCAGCTTTATGTAAATGGACGTGCTCTCCTATGGCCAGGAGCGACATCAGCTTTGGCGATGGCGGACTGAGCACGGGCGTAGAGGGGTCATCAGGTACTACCGTGATGTATGGCCTCCAGTAGGACCTTTTCTATTGAGCACTCGATCCCGGAAGAAAAATAATAATTGAAAACAGGACTCACGTCAAAGCGAAAATATCTGCTCAGCGATTGCATTTTTCTCTGCCCGCGATCCGCCCGTGTCGAGTTCTGCCCCTCCTGCCCTGCTGCCCCACATGGCTCTCCATTTCCCCCCAGTTCCGGTGCGCAGTAGCTGGTCTGCTCTGCTCTTCACCCGTCGATGGTACACCGACACGCCTCTGTGTGGCATTTGTGGGGATGTTCGCGCAGAGGACAAAGCTATAGCTGAACAATGCGCTACACGGTGCGCCACGCCATTGGATCACATTCAACTGCCACAGCCGGAAGAGAACATTCCGATGGTGATATCTATTCATCAGAACGTCTTTTTATTTAATGTTAAAATGCTAATGAAATACACCCTACAAACTTTTGAGGAATCATAGGCAATTTACACCTCTTCATAAATGTAACTAAGCTTTATTGAGTGCTGCATCGAAGTGTCGCATTTTGTATACCTATACCTACCTCTCGCGCCGTTTGTTAGGTACGAGTACATTGTATATGTTACAGGGAGTATGCGATTTCAGTTAGTTTGCAACGACCCTAGGGTGGTTGTAACCTCCCTGAACGATCAGTTTGTTTGCAACGACCCTAGGGACGTTACAAAATAACTGCTCGTTCCGGGACGTTGTAACGAAACTAGGGTCGTTGCAAACTCCCTAGTTAGTATGCAACGAACCTAGGGTTGTTACAAAATAACTAGGGAGTTTAAGAATTCATCGAGTCTCGTTTCACAGGAGGGCCGTCAACAATCTTTTCCAATGAAAATCTTGTTCAATCTAGTTCAGCTTAAGAGAAAAGGAGAACACAATTTGAACATTCAGCTCAGGAGTATATGTGGTGCCCGGGACAAGGTACTTACGTAACTGTGATAATTTTGGCTGCATTATATCGCCAGCATATGCTTACATGTAGAAAATAGAGTTACTGGGGTAGGTGTGATGGATATCCGTCGCTATCCGTGTGCGGGTTATCCCTCACACTTTTAGGGGTGCGGGTCGGATAAAGCCCCTCGTTTTTTCGCGATTATCTCGCGCTAAAAGCGGCCGATCGTGACGAAACTTTGAGTGTCCTCGAACTTATCTACGTTACTGGTTACACATTCCCTATACCTACAGTACATGATCCTGAAACCAATGACCAATGACCTTTGATCTGATTTCTGAGACCATGGCAGACCGAAATGATTTGCCGTTTATGTTAGCGCACACTAAATTGCGTTTCCAGACTTCTATTGTGATTACATGTAAACGTGCCAACATATGAACTGATGGTTGTCCCATGCATCATGATGGGTTTCAAGTTGACTTGTCAGTTGTCGGCCAGGTCAAGGTCATTGACGTTTGGTGACTTCAGGTGACTGTTCCAAATTGTACGATTTTAAGGATTTTTTTTTAGCTTATTTCGAATCCAGCATTCGTTGAGACATTTGAGAAGTACGTATAGTTGTGGTGCCAATGCAACTTGCTACGAAGCTGTCGCTGGTGGTTTAGGTACAGCTGCTATAAATAGGTGGTGCGGGTGGGACGCCAAACTTACCCAAACCAGCCTAGCTTAATCCTCGCCCCCTAGTTTTTTGTTCGCGATAGCTCCGAACACGCCAGCAACAGAGAGCTGAAACTAGGCATACCTGACCTTTGATTCAAGCCGGATCTTGTGACACCAACCAGATTTTCAGGTCAGGTCAGGTTACTGACCTATGACGTCATAAGTGGACGGTCCTCAGATGCCGCAACTTCGCAACGCCCTCAGTCCCAGAGGAGCTTTTACAGGGGATGAAACTTACAGAACGTGCATCTCCTATGTAGAAGTCTCACAAGTTGTACCTCTAGGATTTTTCCTAAAGATCACATGAGGTCAGGTCGGTCACGTGACCTCAACACTATAAGTCAATTGAGAAAAAATGAAAACTGCTATTCTGGCGCCGGGAGCAATCTCAAACTATTGCAAGCACACGGATCGTGATTTCATGCACTCCTTGCAAAAGTTAGAAGCTTCAATTTTGCATTGTTGACGTTACGTGATTATGACGTCACTAGGGTCATACGAGCTTTTCGTCAATAACTCCCGATCAAACTGAGCTAGCGAGTCGGTCAAGCCACCAATGGACTGAGGAAGACCTGCCGAATCGAATAAAATGCAACATGACCTCTTTTGACCAATTTCACGACCTAGGGGTCTCTAACCTGACCTTGACCCGAGGTCAACACCTCAAGTTGACCTCATCCGAACAAAAAGTATACCATTCGACACGCCTGAGCAAGGCGAGCACGTTCATGCTAAACTCGCGCTCTGCAACTGTTTTTTTTTTAAGTTATTGATCAAAAACCGAACCCGTGTCTTGGGTCACATGACCCGACCTCAGAGGTCACCAGTTGACCTGAGACCTTAAAATCGGGTACTAGCTGCTGTGTCTCCTAACGGCACACACGCTCGTTTTTTCCGCGACGCTCTAAATCCAACGGGGGCGAAAAACGACGAGGGGGTCGTACCAGCCCTCCCCCCGGCCGGCGCGTATGTAGAAAACCAACAGGTCCTGCGGGGTTAACTCTCGCCCTTATTGGTGTTTTGCTAGCTGCAAACGCAAAAGGCGGGGCTAGGTTATTGGTTGACCTTCCAGGTCAGGCCAGTGACTCAACAGTCGGGAAAATCGGGACCTATGACCTTTAACAGGTCATACTTTGGAGAGTTAGTTGATACGAGGTTTTTCGGGGCGCTGATCACGAATTTCATGTTAGCTTTGATCACCGATGATGTCTTGATGCTTTTAGGCCAGGTCGGGTCAGGTCAGGTCAGGTCAACCAGTAGGCGTCTTGCTAGCTGTCCATAATAGGTAGGTGTCAACCAACACTGACAGCTTCGTGACATTGTAGGAAGGCGCCAAAATTACTTCGTAAATGTTCAAATGGGTGCTAAATTCGAAATCAGCTCGAAAAACTAGCTTAAAAATATATGAGCCCAGAAGAAGTGAACTAAGGTCATCAAAGGTCAATGACCTTGACCTGACATTCACGTGACCTTGACGCCCACCATAATGCATGGGACCACCATCATTTCACATGTTTGAACGTTTACGATCACAAAAAGACTGGAAACGAGCGGATAATGGCCGTTTTTACGAAGGGCTTCCTGGCGAATGTCCATCTAATTTGAACAAATCTGCACCAAATGTGCACCTTATCTGCACAAAATGTGTACTATAGATGGCCGTCGTGAAATACTCCTGAGCTGAATGTTCAAATTTTGGTCCCCTTTTCTTTTTAAATGAGCTAGATTGAACAAGATTTTCATTGGACAAGATTGTTGACGGCCCTCCTGTGAAACGAGACTCGATGAATTCTTAAACTCCCTAGTTATTTTGTAACAACCCTAGGTTCGTTGCATACTAACTAGGGAGGTTGCAACGACCCTAGTTTCGTTACAACGTCCCGGAATGAGCAGTTATTTTGTAACGTCCCTAGGGTCGTTGCAAACAAACTGATCGTTCAGGGAGGTTACAACCACCCTAGGGTCGTTGCAAACTAACTGAAATCGCATACTCCCTGTAACATATACATTTGAAGTGGATGGTGTGGTGTGTTCATCATGAATGGTTCGTATAACGATTTGGGAACATTGCTAGAGATGGAATAAACTCAGAAGCACGTTGTTCAAGACAGCCAAGTGCGTAACACCGTCTATAGACGTTGTCTATACTCAGTCTACATAGACGTTGTTTAGACTCAGTCTAGGGATGTCTAGACTGTTGTGATTACTGCAATACATCGTTTGACATATACCTACTAGTGAACTTAAACAGGAAGAGTTGAAGGTGATGCCACGCAGGGAGCGAATTGCGATCACTTGGTTACCTACATCTTGAGGTGTTACAGTACCGAGCGAAACATAGCCCAGACGAGCTACGCTGCATATGTTGTGCCGGTCACCAGGTGCAAACGAGACAGGTCAGCCGAGTCGGTGTGTAACGTCGGCCGCGTGCCCTTCAATGCCAGCCGGTCGGCGCTCTTTTGTTACGCGCGGCGCGCTCTGTGGCCTCGTCAGAGGATAGCATTGTCACCCACCACCGGCCGGAGCCGTATCGAGCCATGTGCGCTCGTTGCCTGGCGACCGATACACACGCCCACACAGACACACAAACACGCGCCGCGAGCACGGACGTAGCCTGAATGGGCCGTCGGCCACCGTGGGCAGGCCTGACTCGACCGCCTCTCACAAAGGTGAGAAAATCAACAGCTCACGGCTGCCTGAATGTGTCGTGTTACGGCGGCCTGGCGACCTTGCTGGATGTCGACGCCCACCGACCTCGCAAAGGTCGCCAATCGATGCAATGCGAGGTGCATTAGCAATGTGTCAATGCTCAATGCAGCTGAGAGAGCTGCCATTGGGTTGAGCTCCCCTGAAAATATGATGCGTATCTAGGAATGAGTTTTATCGACACTTTGCCCGCGCCTCATAGTGCGAGGCCGAAACGCCCCCCCCCCCTGTACTTTTCCGTCGATATCTCCTAAACGACTGCAGCTATCGTCACCAAACTTTAAAAACCCCTCCCGACATCAATTGTACACATTGTGAGCAAAATTGTTTCCAGAGGCTATGATAGGTTGGCTGCAAATGACGTCAGAATGATGTCGTGTTCTGCCATTTTTGACAAAAAAAAGGTTTCACGGGAAGAGCTGTCAGGCCTACAGCTTTGAAGATACAGAAAAATGCTCGAACATAAGAAGTGTTAAAATTAAGACGGCTATAAACTGCTCTCTCACATTTTTGAAATTTTTGGATTTTAACCCCCAGAAATTAAAAAAAAAAACTTATTTTTTGTTTTGATATAAAGCCAAAACAAAATCCCGAAAGTTTTTTTCGAATTTCGAAAAAACTGAAACATATATGATAGACCCTCCCACCTTCTATCCACATACCAAATTTGAGATTGATACCTCTTTTTTTGGCCAAGTTATAGCGAAAATACTGTTCAAAATTGATGACGTCAAATTTCCAAACTATTTTTTAAAAAATCAATTCTAGGCCATGTAGCGCAAAACAAAGATCACCATTAGACTCCCCGTGACGAGCTGCATCGAATCGATGCCTATTTTATGCGAAAATATCAAGCTTGAAATTTGCCTTATTTGACCTGACCTTGACCTGACCTTCACCAGAACATAACGTAAGCTGGCCCCAAAGGTCCGCAGGTCCGCAGGTCCCAAAGGTCCCACATTATCTCATTTGTCATGTAGAATGGACCATAAAACATGTATCAAACGACGCTTTCGTATTGTGACCCTCAGTGACCTGACCTCTGAGACCTGACCTGGTATCAATGACCTCAAATAGCAAAATATGTGTTTTACGGACAAGTCCCCCATCGATGATTTTCAAAAAAATGCCTTTTACTCGCTTTTACAATACATTTCTTGAAATGCCTGTAAACGGTGAAAATTCGATCTTTGACCTGACCTGTGACGTCATCGGTTTAGCCGTGGTCAATGAAATTCGGTCGCTAGGTAGTTCCGCGGTAGGGCTATCCAACGCCGTTTAAGTTTTGAAAATCGGCCGGTAACTTGCCGAGATCTTAGGGGGCCAAAACGCGCCCCCCCCCCGTACGGTTGGTAAGGTCCGCAGATAGCCCTACGCGGGGCGCGGGTTAACATCAAAGCCTATCGGAATTCAGAGATGCCACATCTTTGTAATACCGGCTTATGGTATAATATAGGTAGTGATAATTAATTAGGCATGATACAGTATAGACGTTACTTAGTTGGAAAATGGTATATTGGTATGTCTGTTTTGTACTAACAATTCGCTTTTTCCACCCTTTTCTTAAGAATGAGAGGTTTTGACAGCACTCTGATCGACTTTTCATTCAATCATGAAGATAAACTAAACTAAAAAAAAACACGCAAACACAGTAATGCAAACCGTCGAGAAAACCATCGAGACGCCGTTGGAAGTCGAGTCGAATGTGTCGGTCCGACGACTTACCCCGCTGGTTTACTCGGTCGACAGACCGACTCGCGGTGAGAAGCAATTGGCATGTTGGTGACGTGCCATCACTTGATGGTACCCAAATTATCAGCAAACATTCACTGCAAACTTAGCTGGCTGGTATATTGTATTGAGGAGAATCGATATTTATGGAATTTGTCTTTATCTGTGGTTGCTTATTTCCTGTGTTGCCTTAAAATCAGATGAGTGAGGCAACTACTTAAAATCGACCCCGCTCCTTTTAAATACATTTTTGGTCGTCTTTTATTTAACAAACATTGATATGAATATTAAGAGTCTTTCTTTCAGGAGTCTTCTCATCTGAAACATTTGTTGCTGTGTAAAGAAGGACGAATATGTGAAACCTAACACAGCGCGAGAAAGCGTGATAGCCTGCTATAAAATTGTTGTAGTTACATATATGTCTCGTATAAATCAATGTGAAGCTTAGCACTAAATTATATAAGTCAGCAAAAAAACGAACAAACATACAAACAAACAAACAAACAAACAAACAAACAAACAAACAAACAAACAAACAAACAAACAAACAAACAAACAAACAAAACGTCACCATGGAGAAAGACGACATTGAAGTTCAGTCACTAACGAACATGCCCTAATGACGTGTTAACCCTCGCCCGCACATGGGGGGGGGGGGGTGGTTGCCAACCCCCCAGGTAGTCTTTCTGCTCTGCACTCAACATTTTTAGAGCTAGAAGGCTGATTTTTCGTATAGCTGCTCCTCTATCCTTTCTTGATGTCCACTGAAAATTTCAAGTTTCTGTGATTTTTGGTTTCGGAGATATGACCTTGTCAGGTCATGTCATGACCCAAATGGCCAATTCTCAACATATTGCGTTTGCCATGGGCCTTATGAGCTTTTGACACCCTGATTTCGGCCTTTTTTGCCAGTCTTACCTCCCACCTATCATGGAACATGTTGTTCGACGATGTACAGGGGTCAAGGTCAGGGTCAAGGTCAACCTAGGTCATCTAAGATAATTGCGTTTTAGGCAAGCTAAATTTACTTTTTTGAAGTTTTTTGACTGCATTTTTGGTAAAAGCTTCTCAGATCATGATTTCATGTAATATGGACCCAAAAACAATCGGTGCACACATCAGTATACACACAGACACACACAGACATACAAACACATATAATTGACCTTGACCTAACTTGACCTGAAATGATCTCAGCAGCAAAATTCTGGTCGGGTAGTGTGACAAAGAGGTTCTAGCTGGCTTGGCACCAGAAAACAGCATCGTCATCGGTATTTGATAAGCAGCACACTTGATATCCAACGGTGACCCAAAACAGCAACATTTTTTAGTTTGACCTGACCTGGAAGGTCAATGACTGACCTGAGAAGGTAAAACTGGGTATCATTGGATTCGTCTCTTCCCAAAGAATCTTTTTGGTCTTTACCGCTAAGCTCTATCTCCAACAGGAACGAAATGGCGCGGGGGGGGGGGGTTCCAACCACCCCCCCCCCCATGTGCGTTCTAGGATGGGAAAATGGCATGTGCGGGCGAGGGTTAATGCAACAGACGTTTGCCTTTACCTCATAGTTTGCCGAACCTCCCCCTCCTTAGCCCCACCAATCGACCACTCCGTCCCGACCCGGGCGGCGGTGCCGGCGGCCGGCCAGACGGCACCTGTAGCTCCCCCGGGCCGGGTCGGTCGACGCCGTGCCCGCACCGGTCACCATGCTACCAAACCAGGTGGTGCCGGCGCCGACCACCCAGCAGCCGCAGCCGCTCGGCGTCGGCCCGTACACCACCGTCACCGGCCATGCGGTGATGCTCACTCCTCAGCCGGCCATGTTGATACAGAACACCGTACCCGGCTGTCCAAGAGGTGGGTGACCGTACCCGGCTGTCCCAGAGGTGGCCGGGTTGGTCATATTGTTCAGTGTCCAGGAGCTGCGTGGGTATTACAGGTCATAATTGGCTGTCCCAGAAGTGGGGGGCCATTCCTAGCTGTCTCAGAGATGGTTAGATATAGTCGTCCCTAACTGTCCCAGAGGTGGGCACATACATACATATACCGGGCTATCCCAGAGCTGGGTTGAATGCTGGGCTGCCCCAGGAGCAGGTGTCCAGAGCATACCTGGATGTCACAGGAGTCGGTAGGTATATATAGGCTGTCAAAGAGGTGATTTACCACTGCGGGCTCCATCCAAACCGGTTTCCAAACCGTCTTGGGCATAGAAAATATAAATGTTGTGATGAGGACATATAATTGATTAGCTTTATCAACTCGGTATTTTCCAGGCTTGGAGATGATGGCGAAGACCGGCCAGCTCATCATTCAACAAAAGGTGTGGATTTATGCTGGTTTCCATGTCTGCAGTTATGAAAACGCGAGCAATGACTTTTAAAAGAAAAAGACTTATGCATCCGTGACCCATGGAGTTTTTCTCGTAAAATACTCGTAGTTGCATTACCTACGTTACTGAAATTATCGACCTAGATAACAGGACTGGCATGGGACTTCAAAGCGATGTTGTCTTTTGAAAGAGATCTGGCAGTTCTCTGGTAGATAGATAGGTTCTTACATACATATAGTTGTGTAGGAAAGTACGGTTAATGACCACTCCTACCAGGCGTTAAAGACAACTTTGACCCCACAGCCACCCGATTCGACTCTCCTGGAAGACATTCTTAGCGAGGTGACCGACTTCGACAAAGGTTTGGAGGCGAACAAGTACTCGATAAGCACTCCATCCGGTCAGACCGTCTACTGGGCGGCCGAGGAGAGCGGCTGCTGCGACCGAAACTGCTGCGGCCGCGGCCGATCGTTCCGAATGAGGGTCGTCGACAGCCAACACGGCGAAGTGCTCTTACTGGACAGGCCACTCAGGTGAGCAGTGGATGCCGGGATGTTGTAGAACATGCGAATGATGAAAGGCTGGTGCAAAGATTGAAGGGCTTTTCACAAAAGTAGAACAATGCGTTGTAAAAAGTTAATTTTCACTATAAATCAATCCTTTCAAAATGTTTTGCAATATTTTGAACTAATATTCTTCCTTTTAGTTTGATCTTAGATTTACTGCGCTTTCACGCTTACCGTATTCTTTTTTTTTTTAGTCTGGCATTGCATAATGCATTTTTTTTTTATAAAAAAAAATGAAAAATAAAGAAAAATAAAAAACATTGCATAATGCATAGTGCATTGCATTGTGCGTCCTTCCACGCATGCTCAATTGCTCAGCTCCGCGTCATAATAATCCGAGTCGACTCAATGCACCGACGTCCGACACCGACCCTGTCCCAACAGGTGCTCGTGCTGCTGCTGCTTCTGCTGCCTCCAGGAGCTGGAGGTCTCCTCCGGCGGGGTGCTCCTGGGCACCGTCACCCAGGAGTTCTCCGTCTTCTACCCCAGCTTCAGCATCCGCGGCCCGGACGGCGACGTTCGTCTGCAGATCACCGGCCCCTGCTGGGGCTGCGGCTGCTGCAGCGACATCGAGTTCCCGGTCATGTCAGCCGACGGCCGGCGTCAGGTCGGCAATCTCACCAAACGCTGGAACGGCATCGGCAGGGAGCTGGCGAACGACAGCAAGACGTTCAGCGTCAGCTTCCCCGACTTTGCCGATCCGGCCACACGAGCCACCCTGTTCGGAGCCACGATCCTCCTCAGCTACGTGTTCTTCGAGAAGGATAACATTCAGCAGCCCTCCTAAGGGTAGAGGGCGCTGTTTGAGGTGGCCACCCACACCTGTGGTCGGCAGCATGAAGATCCCTCCAGAGGAAACAATATTATATACAGGGTAACAATCGCAGCCCCGCGATGGCACTCATTCGTTGAGTTGTTGCTGGCCATACGGGTAACAGCAACGCATGTTAACACGTTTAAAACTTATATTACCTCTGAACGCTGTTACCAAGACCCTAAATACAGCTAACCGGCTATATAGTAACACTATGCAATGGCATCAAGGTCACAGAGCGTACTTACATACGTTTCTGGAGTGGATTCCACAAACGCTTCATTTGTTATCTTCAGCTCCGAAGTGGGTTGCATTATGAGCTGGATATTTAGATAACGCTCTTTGTAGGGTGCATTTTTAGATTGAATAATGCTCTCCGTAGGTATGAACAACAGTCATTTGCCATCAAATTGATCAAGGCATGTTTTAAAAAACAGACGTATATAGTAAATAATAAAAATATTCATGCAGACAGATCACATTGCTCACCTCACGGAAATGAGATGATAATGAGTATAGACACAACGAACTCAAAAGTGGATGACAGTGCCAGAAGAGATTATGACAACTGGAATAGGGCCTAGGGGTGCAGCGGAACTTATTATATTTGCTTTATGACTAGGTTCATTGGGGTTAGGTACCTACCTATGGGCTGAAGACACTCGAACTTATTGCTCTTGAGTCACCTGCCAATTTCTTTGACGAATGCGACAAGCTATTGCTAGATTCTATGTAGTTACATAACGGGTTCACAAACTATTCAGTGATCTATGCAATGATATATGGGCTCATCACCTCTATACGACTTTGTGTATCCAGGTTCCATAGCAACATGGTTTGGTGACTTGACTTTCACCGTTGAGTCAAAACAGCAACAAAGTAAATTGGCTATTGACATTTCATTGGCATTTCCGTGATGGAGAAAGTTGTTTGCGGTTACTATTCGCCAAAGTAAAACTGAAAACACCGCATGGCATTGCCCTAAAACAAGCATTTAAAGCATTCAAATCGAATGAGACCACACTTCCACCGCCCAGTCTGGCCCAACAGTCGGATATAAAATATAATTCCAAATCAGATGTTTCACTGCATGTAAGTTCAGTTCAGCGATACATGCATGGATATGACTATTTTACATCATATCTGATCAATCGATCTTTTTTGTGGGAGGGGGGAGGGCGGCAAGCAGAATTTTACGAGCCTCTGCTTAATCGACCTTGATCTAGACATCCGACCACATTATCCATGAAACTTTCAAGCCCCAAATGGTGTTTACCTATCTCTGATAAGATAGGTCCAACACCAGTTAAAGAAACGGATGAAGATAGTACATCAAAGACTCTAGCATGGACGAGGGACACCATAACCGCTTTGAGCTGCTGTTTTCACGAGACATTGCTCTGACTGAGCATATATAATACGAGTACAAGCATTTTTAACGCTAATGGCGCAGGTCATGAGCAGTCGTCAGTCGTCTCTGCATTTCCGTGCATCACTCAAACCACTCTGCGCATTTATTTTACCAATCTATTTATCCAGGCAAAGCGCCACCCAGATAAAGCACAGTTGCAGGTAGTCAGATCGAAACAATGACACCCTCCCCTCCGCTCCGCTCTGCGTTACGGAACAATACTGTACCGCAAAACTGCCTGTAAACTGCACATCAGAGGTACTGCAGCGTGGCACCATCCTCCCCTCCCCATTCCCGTCCCGGTCTATGGCGCGGCTCCCCTCCCTCCCCTCCCTCCCCGTCCCGTTGCAGCTGCCTGCAGAGTTACCGGTGTCGCTAATGGTGTTGTTGTGTGACCTGTAGCCAGCCTCTCAGCTCCGACACGCCTGGTGTAACGTCGAGCCGGTCGGAGGGCGCTGAAGCGAGTCGGGAGCGGCACAGACGCTGGCTGTCGTTGGCTTGGCGAACAGTCAGTGGAAGTTCAGGAGGGAGAGAGGTGTGTGGGAGGCTTGGCGAGGCACTCGCGACATATTCTTGAAGCGATTCACCAGGAATTGGTGCTGGATTTCATCTCATCGGGCCACCGTGGCTTTTGATATCAGTCAGCTTACCAGAGAAGCGTTTGTATCTGTACGCGTCAAACGGACTGCTACGATAAGTCTCAAGTCAGTCCCAATCTGTTGGACTCGGGATACGGTCCTAAAATAACGCCAAGAAACCACGAAGTCGCGCCACGACGTATGTGTGATCGGCCAGCCAGCGAGACGTTCTTAAATTGCCCGGGACCCTGGCCAGACCTCGTCAAGCATTGCATGGCGTGACTACTCACTACAGGCACTATTGTCTGGTAGTCTGAGAGGAACTGTCCGGCTGGAAGTTGGAGAAGTGAATTCAAGTGGTCCAAGACACTTCACTCTAAAGCTTGAGCTGTTGCATTACGGTACCTGATAATGATTTCCAGACGTGACTGATCTTTTGTTTAGCTGAATGTGTTACAGTAACCTAAAATGTGATAAGTACCGATCGATTATCGATCAAGCCAAGCACAAACAATGAGCAGCTACGCCAGTCCGCCTGCCACGAGCTACGGAGCTCCTATGATGAGTTACGGCGGCAGTAGCGGAGGGTACGACAGCGGAGGCGGGTATGGAGGCGGAGGCGGGTACGGAGGCGGAGGCGGGTACGGAGGCGGCGGAGGCGGGTATGGAGGCGGAGGCGGAGGCGGGTACGGCGGAGGCGGAGGCGGGTACGGCGGAGGCGGAGGCGGGTACGGAGGCGGTCTGATGCTGCCCAGCTTCGATACGCTCCTGACGGGACTGGCGTTCGCCACGTTTGGTCTGTTCCTGTTGCTGCTCGTGCAGCAGGCTATAAATGGAGCAAACGGAGGGGGCGGCCGGTCGAATGGCGTTGGCATGTTTCAGATAGGCTCATGGACGCCGCAACTTCACCCGCTGCCGTCAGGGATTATCCAGCGGTTGGATAAAGCGCCGCCCGTGGATGTTCGACAACGGAGGAGTCGAATACGCATCCCGCATAGGAGGAAAATGCGTTGATGGATTTAAGCGCTGTATGTTTGTGTTTTTTATGTTAATGTGGGGACTTTATTATCTGTTGTACTCACCTGATGTTCATTGAAATAAACGAATATTTGGGGTGTGCTATGCTTGTGCTTAGATAGGTATTGTTGAATTACATGTACCTATAACTTACCACAATTGTAATGCATGCAGGACATGGTATTTTCCAGCCGTCCTTTGTATTGTGAATGCATGGTTTCCGCTAAAAATACATCTTTTGAACTACACCCACTAACTCTGCGGCCTGAAACATTAAAGATCGCTCTCATTTTTCTTTCATTTACCCATCTTTCGAACACGGCAGGAAACGACAAAAAGAATGAATGCAAAGAAAAAAGAATAAGGAATAAAATAAAAGCGCAATGAAAATTATAAAACAAAATAGCCCATTGCCACTATTCAACAAGCCGTACAGTTGATCTCAAATTTGATCATTGTTTCCATAGTAAGAGCGCTTATTTTTATTGTTGCTTACCTGCCGCGCTGTTTTTTCGCAAAAAAAATATGAAATCGCCATGTGTTTTGATACCTGCGAAGAACGAATCGCATAGGTACTTACGACAATGGCGACAAAGGCAAAGTTAAATGAAAGTGAGTAGCAAAGAGCAATGAAGATTCTACAGCGATTAGGGTTTAGAGAGTTTCGAAATAGCTTATAGAATTAGGTATTGCTAATTTGTGTCGATTTGTGTAATTCGTCCCTTTGACCTTTTGGAAAGTTTTCGTGATGCATATTCCTAAAGCGGTTTACTAAATTTCAACGAAATAAAATGAGTGAGAAAGTAAAGCAGTTTTTAATGGGCAGTGGGCACGTATAATAATCTGACGCAAAAGGGATCACGCGTCCAGTCCGACCTGGAGTATATGCCTGCTAGTTATGTTGATATTACGTCACTATTTTGAAGAAACTGTTTTGTTCTTTTAGGTTATGTCTCTGTACATATCCAAAGCTTTTCTATGTATGCTCGTCGCAGCCGGTAGCTCGTTTTTTATCCGACCTGACGTCGCTAATCTTCGGAGCAACGGCTGCCGTCGACACCGGCAGCAGGGCAGAACGGCTCCGTGCGGTGCGGCGCGCCGCTTCAGTCGCACGGTGACGAGCAGGCCCTGAGGAGCGCGGTGACGAGCAGGCCCTGAGGAGCGCGCCGGGTCTGCCGCACGGACAGACGGTGGCTCTAGACGGTTCGTCTGGTTCGTAGTGGGATGAAGATCTAACAGTGTCCTGCTCCCATTTTCTTTGGTAATGGAGTGCGGTGACCTGATAACTATCCAGTAAACTGTGGTAGCCTGCTCCTGCTCCAGCAGTTCGTCATTTCACCAGTGACTTCTCACACCCTTCACTCCAGCGATGGCGTCTGATCTGACGGAGAATATCGCTGTCGCCGTGGCCTCCGACCCGCAGCTGCGGCACACCACGCTGGCTGTGGTGGACCGTCTCAGCGCGCCAATACTGCAGTTCGTCCGCTCCTCGTGGGGTCTACACGAAGGGGAAATATCAGCAGCAGCAGAAGCCGAGGCGCGGTCCTCTGGCTACGGAGGCGGAGGCGGTGGATACGGCGGTGGCGGTCCCAGTCCTCTGGACACCGCGCTCAGCGCTCTGGCTCTGCTCGCCTTCGCCCTGTTCTTCCTGAACGCGATTTTGCCGCTGATCACGGGCGGAGGAACGGGGGGAACGGGAGGCACCGGTACCGGCACTGGAGGAGGGAAGAGGTCGCTCCCGGCAGACGACCCCCTGCCTCTGGACCTGACGCAGGAGACGCTGAACATTCTCACCAGCTGGGTCAGCAGCAGTGAACAGCGCGAGCCGGATTGGCGGTCCTGAGCTGAGCTGTTAAGTGTTCACTAGGTGCGCAGAAATTGATACTAGGGATCGCACCATAGCTTGTTGGTGAACATCTTATTATTATCCACCCTAAGCATCCGGTACTCTGAACACGAAAATCAGAGGTTCCAAAACTTTTGATGTACATTATTATTGAATAATCTCCTTCGAAAACCATACCAAATACATATAAATGCACTGGAGGAGTCGTTTGTGCAATATGGTGTATGCTATAGTGTATACGTGATTCTACATGAATGTATGTGCGTGCTTGTGTTATTAACTTGTACTTTTTACTGCAAAATCTTTGTTGAGCAGTGCAAATATACGTATAATGACTATATATTTCATGACCTC